TTCAAATATAGCAACCACTCTTTATTTCGTGACATAATACACCCGTATGTCATCTCTATCACATTAAAACTGTATTGTTGCCCCCCCCCCTCTTTCTCCCTCCTATACTCTAGTCCCATACATGCTATTTCAGTATCCTTAAATTTTGACCTTTCGACGAGGTGTCATTTTGCCTGACACATGGCAGCGTCAGTGACTGATGCACGCTTTGACGCGAACGAACTGACAGTACAGTGCAAGGAATGCTTAAAGAAGTGGTGCATGGGCCGATCTTGCCTCCATCTTAACATCTTGAATAGCACGAAGGTGATTAAATGAATAACGCAATCGAAATGCTATTACATTTCTATGTCTATCACGCAGTTGTAGATAATTCATATCCACAATTATCATATTTTATATTACATCAACTGGCGTCAGTTTAACTGAAGAAAAAAAAACCAGAGTTCTTTCCCCTCTTTCTTTCTTGTTCTTTTGTTTTAGCGAGTCATCCTCCCTCATAATCAATTATTCACCTGATACAACAAGAGGGTTGCAAGCAAATGATGATTCGATGCTTTAATACGCCGCATCCCTCCTATAATATTTATTCATGTTTAATGCATTCATGTATCTGTATTTCTAATACATCTCCTCCAGATGTAATGTACCAGAGAAAATTTGTATGAATGACATATTTATGCGCATGAAAATGTTTTTTGTCAAAATTTTGTTATTTCGTAACTAAATAAATTCAATTCAATTTAATTAGACGTAATTGATTTATGCAATAGTTTCATTAACCTAAGTTTATGGCAAATATTTTAAAGTATTTTTTTTTCCAAAGAAATTTGAAGATGGGATCATGTTTCTTTGCATGGAGGACAGTCAAATGTAGAGAGATACTATTCAAGCATTGTATTGAACGTGCTTCCGGTATATTTATGAAACAACAACGTGTCCATTTTAGCTCGTGATTCATAAAGTCAGTGGAGCAAAATGCTTTAATATTGGGGGCGGGGAAAAAAAACATAATAATTGAAAAAAGAAACCTACATGCTCCAGACAAGGAAAACGTGTCATACACAAAAGAGCTTTCAGTTTTCAACTGTCAAAGACGTCTGTCCAGACTATTTGTTTTTAATTCACTTTCTAGATAAATAGGGTGACCAGGGGAGTGTTTCACAAACAGTAAGATCGACTTTAAGTTGGACTTAACTATGGCAGGCCATTCGTGCCACTGTTTGCTCTCACCATTTACTGGCATTGGTCTGCCAAGGACGTACAAATAATGGTCACTCATCTACATAATTTACATTTTTAGATAATGTATTATTGAAGGAAAAAATAGTATGCAAAGATCATACTGGTGAGAGCAACCAGTGGCATGAATGGCCTGCCATAGTTAAGTCCAACCGTAACGTCGATCTTAGTCTTTGTGAAACACCCCCTTGTCGATGAAGTCATTACCGTATTATGAGCACTAATATCGATATTAGACTTGTTTTCATAACGAATTATGGTGGTTCATGGACATAGCTTTCTGAATCGTTTCTTAATTATCCGGGGTTATGATCACTTTTTCGCAAGACGAGAACGGTCAAGGTCTGACTGTAGGCCTAATCTAACTGAAAGGCATATTTCAATAACAATAACAATAACCAATTCCAGAGCAAACGGTTATCTCTTTCTCTCTGTTTATTTATTATCTGTCGATGTTGTTGATAGTAATGATGATGATGATGATGATGATGATGAGGATGGTGATTATGATGATATTTATATATCACCTGACTACAATGAAACCAAGTTTATGCTTGGATGTAAGAAATGGGGAGGAAAAGGAGGAGACGACGGTGACGAAAAAGAAGGAGTTTCGTCGAAGGAGAAGGAGAAGGATCAGAAAAGTCAGAAAAAAGGAAGAAGAATGAGTTGAAGGTGAAGAAGAAATAGTAATCAGAAGAAGATGAAGAAAAAGAAAAAAGTAGAAAGAAGAGAAGAAAAAGAATGAAAGAAAAAGGGAAAAAAGAAGGAGGAAGAGCAAAAAGAAGAGGAATGAGAAGGAGGACATAGACAAGAAGAAGAGAAAGAAAAAGCTTTATTAATCCGATAAACTTGATTAGTTGGTTCCATATGCAAAAGGCACTATTGAATTGATTTGGTTTCGAACCCGGGACCTCCCAGTTACGTGATTATTGATTACTACCCCTGATCATCCACGCCATCACTGCTCTTTGTCTGAGCCATCAAATACATTTTTACATCATCCGATTTCCTTGTTTCAATAACATTTGTGATTAGATTAAAAGTGACATAGATATAGATTTTATGTGCTTCTTCTTCTTCTTTTTACCCTTACATGTCCATATACATCGTTTGCCGTACTGATTGATTATACATTGCGTAAATGTGCCTTGTGGTTCACCTTTCCTCACCTCTTGATTTTCTTCTTCTTCTTCTTTTCCTCCCTCGAGTCCTCATCCTTCTTCCTTCTTTTTGGTACACTAGTCTTGAAAACATTTCCATCTACATCATTTGTATTCATACTGAATAAGTAGACATCGCGTAAAAAGTTTTGTTCAGGTTATTTTCTTTCTTGCATGCCTTTCATTAGAATTGTAATGTAGTGAATTTGAGAAAACATGGTACATTAGTGTGACGTGCATGGAGAAGGGAATTTCTCCATTTTTTGTTGGTGAACGTTATAATCCATTTCTCACACATAATGATAGTAAACGGTGCTTAAAAATCGATCTGACTCAAAAAACAAATTTCAAATGGAATTTGTCATTGGTGTGGGAATGCGGGTAAGCTACCTTAATACTAAGTTGAAGATTTGCAAGATACCCGACGCCAAATTTTGATTGAAAAAATGGATGCCGCACTATTACATTTGAATGGATTTAGCGGGAAAAATTTAAAGCCGAGAGAGAGAGAAAAAAAAAGGGGGGTTTGAATGGCAAGGACGTCTATAAGGATTTGCAGTAATGGACCATCTTTTTTAATAAGACTAGTCGGCCTACATGTATTTATGCCTAAGGTACCAGTAATTCGAATATATGCTCCATATTTCAATCACTCGTTTCGTGACGCACAATCTGTTTTGGTTCATTTTTCTTTCTGTGCGGTCCTCCAACAAATCACCACAAAACATTTGTTGTCCACCCCCGCGTTATTTGCGGGGGTATTTAAATTTGCAGTCAGAATTTTTATGAAGAAAGAGATCAAGTGGTTAATAATAAATTAAAATTAAACTTTATATAATCAATTTCTAGTTTCACAAGATGCGAAAGAAGTAATAGCATTTCCCTATGTATACTTTAGGTGACCATGCAACTCATTGAATTTGTAAACATGGAAATATATAGAGAAAGAAACAGACAAGAGAATTATGTTTTAAATACATGTATATTTATTAGTTTCACCTGTCACAATCTGTGACTCTTCGCGCTAGGTTGTAATATATTATATAGAAAAATAATGTCACTATATACTGGACACCTTGCTACTATACTGGAAAGGCTTGTAAATATAGGCTATGCTTGAAACATTCGTTCTCACTGTCTAAAAGTGGTACCGGATTGCACAGGCACATTAAACAATTTCCAACTGGCATAGAAAATGTATGACAATCTCTTTTTCACAACATACACGAAAATTGAGAGCCTTTATACATGAACAAACACAAAAGGCCCTATCATTTATGACTTTTTCAAAATTTCATCAAAAATATTGAAACAAATAAAGATGTCAATTAACAAGTATATCATAACAATAATAAGCAGTCAACCTGCCTCAGTAGCCACCTGTCTATAAAGGCAACCTATCTATAGTGGTCATCCATATTACCCCCTTCTAGAGGAAAATGTGTATTAAAGAGCCTGTCTACAGTGGCCACTTTTTTGTTCCCCCTAGACAGGTTTGGCTGTTTAAAGATCAAACGTTTTGATCGATGACGTTTCAAACCATTAAATATGTATCATTGAATTACAAATCTTATATTGAAGAAAAAAAGAAGATATAATGACACAAGATATGCTAAGAGTACATCGGTCACGTCTCATAATCAACTATACGAGTATTCATTTACACCAAGTCTGATACTTGTTATTTCTTGGATATCAAAGTAAAACAAAATTATTATAATCCTACTTGTGAAAGAGTGAGGTAAGACGAGGACACCATACTTCTCATATTAATTGTCTTTCGTTTCATCCGGAGGCCTTTATTTATATATATCATCAACTATCAATGAGCAGCACATTATCAACACAAAGTAACTGTTGCAACTGCCAACTATCATCTTGCCCCAAGATTTTAATATAATGAGCCATTCAATTATTTTTTATGGCAAGGGCAGCTTTGCTCACTTTAGGCAAGGTTTTTGCTGAGAAAGTGTTGATTCCTTGAGGCTCATGGATGATTTGCAAATCGTCGTTCTGTGAGACATTTCTCCTAGAAAAATAGGGTAGTTCACCATACCATCTTATCTCACTCTCCCATTCAATTGTTTTACTACATTTACAACCATTGATACAACCAAAACTAAAACAACTTCAAATTATCTATTCTACTAAATTACACCAAAACACAAAAACAAACAAAACAACGAAACATAGCATTATGCATTCACAACAAGTCATGTTTCTGAGATCAAGCAGGAAGTTTGTTTTCTGAATTTAAAATTAATTTAAGCATTGCACAACCACAGAGAGGGATTTGTTTTGTACAGGAGTAGTGAGTCATAGTGTCAGAGAGACAACAGACCAGTTGGGGAAGACAGAGAACCACCTCCACTGAGATCAGAAGTTGAATGGTCTCTGAACCATAATAGATAAAGGTGAATCTCCTGGAATAGGCAATATACCTATTGAAGTATGGAAAGCAACAGGTGAAATAGGGAATCGATCTCATATGGGGGCTATGTATAATAATAATAATAATAATAATAATAAAAATAATAATAGCCTAATAGTCCACTCCAAATTTTATTAAACCGAAATGGAAATTCCTTTTGTATCAAGATATGGGAGAATTGAGAATGGCCCAAAGACTGGTGCAGAGCTATTTTCATACCTTTACCTAAGAAAGGCAATCAGAAAGAATGTTCTAATCATAGAACCATCCTCTTGACCATGTTAAAACAAAATATACCTTTTCTTATCACAAAATATGAAACACACTGTCATCTATGAAAAGTTTGGCACTGAGTAGACAATAAATATGGCACATTTCTAGAATGTGATACTTAAGAAGACAAAATATAATTCAGTGCTCACAACCCAATTACAACAGTCCTCTTACATCTTCAATGAAGTATAACGGAGATGATTGTAGATGAGAAGTCTGTGATGTCATCGATTGGGATGCGAGTTATCCTAGCTAGATGATCACAGATCTACATGGAAAAGTAAAGAAAAAAAATTCTTAATCCTGCGAATTTAAAGCAACTATAACAACCCTATTGGTATATAACTGAAACTAATGTTATAGGCAGATTGAAAGTGTTCCCTACAATAATTGTTATGTTATTATATACAGGTGCTGTGGCCTAGTGGATACATAACCCAACTGTGAATCACATAGTCCACAGCTTGAGTCTTGCCACTGCATCAATGTCCTTTGGCAAGACATCTACAATTGCCACTCTCTTCCCAGGTGTAGTAAATAGGCACCCTTGGGCAGCTGGGCTAAAGCCAGGTTCATACTAGTACATTGTAATGCAGTTGCCTTGGCTTGAGCAGGCTATGTGGGATGGTCATGTGTATATCATATCTTTCATGGAGGTTATGTCCCAAGGCTTGTACCACGACTCTTACACAACTCGTAATTTATTTTTTTTAAATGCATGCTATAATGCTAGGTCTCTAGCACTCCCATATTCTAAATTACTTTTTTATAAGAATAATCAGTGTGTGTGTGAGTGGGTAGGCTATCAAGAATGACAATCAGCAAGTGTTATTGGAGGTTATACCATTGTCATGATTGAATTGGAGCACTTAGATTAACTTCTTCTTTACCCAGGGTAGCCTCATTAGTAATATTGATGTCCCTGAGAGCCCTGCAATAGGATTATTTCCCCAGCTTTAGTGCAATTAAGTGAATTATCTTTGCTAATTGATGAGCTCTACACAATTATATCCATGGGAGATTTTTAATACAACATAAATTAGTCCTATGCATGTGGATGTTTGAAACAAGAGAGTAATCATAAAATATAGAAAACTTAACTATTGTGGGTACACTATGATGTTTTGTTGTTGATGAAACTTTTAATATCTACATTCTCTTCTGGATCAGGAAGATACAGACAATGTACCTACCATTTGCAGTGAATTGGTGTCTGTGAAGTAAGCTGCAGCTCCTATTGTGGCTGTTGCTAAAAGCATCACATCATTTTCAACTGGAGCAAATTTTGATCTGAAAGTAGACAAAGCAATGCATTCTTTCTTTTCATCTTCATGACTGAGGTGCTTTCTAAGAAAGTCTAACAATTTAAAAAAAATGATTTCACTTCTACATTGCAATAATCTAGCCCTTGATTTTATTTTATCAAATTACTTACCAATCAAAATCTTCTAGAATAGAGTATGGTTGAATTACTTCAAAAATTGTCCAGACTGTTACAAATGATGAGACAAACCTCTTCTGTGTTTTTACAGACAGATATTTTTTACAGACTTTCATTTCTTTTGTCACAAGCTTACTCATAAATAATATAAGTTCTAGTACACATATAGCAGAAAATGACATTTTCACTTTCCAACATTCAGCTGTAGAAGAAGAGGGCAGCAAACAAGGTCTATTAAAATGCTATATTGCATTGTCCAAATTGTCACTTTTAAATTCATATGGGAGAAAGTGTTGTGTGTGTTTATGTTAAGGGGGGGGGGGGGTAATACAAACTTTATACATTTTCAAGGGTCAATAATGTTAGCTAATAGAAGTCTTGTCTCAAATTAAATATCTTGGTATTTTTTGTTGGTAATATCCATTGCCATTCGGGTTAGATATCAAAACTACCCAGAATTACATGTAATAATAATAATACACTGTCGCTCATAAAGGTTTCCATAAATTAAAAAAAACACAGAAAATGCAATAAATTTTCAATAGTTTATTGCATGTTACCCCGGTCCCCAACATAAAACAAATCTTCTGTGTGCCTATGCCTTAAGCCATAATGCATGGCCGTCCAGAGGATTTTGTTAACTGCCCCCTACCCTAGCCCCCGCTGTGTACAGTCATGGTTCAGTGACAAAACAATGGCCTCGTAACTGTGAGGCTCCAGGATCAAAACCGTGTCGATATGCTATATTAGTGCCCTTTTGTGGGGCATTAATCCTCATTACTGTCATTTATGACTTAACCGCGTAAGTCCCCTAGTTAATAAGCATAGTAGCATACACATGCTTTAGCAGTCCCGCAAAACACACATTGGCAAATTTTTATTCAATAAAATCTGAGAATGTATACTATTATCTAGATCTATTATTTTTAAATAATTTTTAAAATAATTCCATAAATTGGGGTAAAACTAAAATATTCCACCTGTATGAGCGACAGTGTAATAATATTTAATTTTTATATAGCGCTTAATACAAATGTCTCTAAGCACTTTACAAATATACTATTACCCCGGTCATTGGATTCAGTGCTTGCCCGCACACAATGTGTGCACAATCTCCACTCCCTGGGGAGCATTCCAGCCAGGCGTTACATGACGCTCAAAAACTGTTTGACCAACAATGACGGTCACATCCTAACATGTAGGTGGAGACTCAATTAATCTCACTATTCCCTTAATAGAACTGATACTTTGACGTATGTTGAACTCTTCTCAAAAGACTGTCTAGGCATCTTTTAAATTATTCATTATGTATGCTTTCAACCTTATGCTAAATTTGCCAGCTTACCAGAGGTACTATTTCCCCAAGAACTATTAGTAATGCTGCTATTCTGCAAATGGCATGGTCTTAGAAGACGAATATTTCTTTACAGGGAGTGGGGAAGGGGGTTGATCATTACCTTGTTTGGGGATTGACAGGACTATCTCCAACTGCAAGCTGTAGTAGCCTTTCATAGACTAGCTTTCTCTTGATGTATACTACATCTAAAACCTTCAGGCAAGTCTCATGGAGAACTTTGACAGGAGTATCTGGATCATTGTGACCTGTATGATGTCCATCAAAGAGAAAAACAGAGAGACAGAGAAATGAAGAGACCGTTAATCAAACCGAGACATGGGGATGATGGCAGGATCGAGAGTGTAATTTTAGAGACCTTGATTTTGTAACATAGATGGAAACTTATATATAAACATGAAATTATGAAGTCATGAATATATCAGAGTCCCAAACAGATGCACCGACAACAGATATGTACATTGCTAGAAAAAATGCACTCCAACCTTCTGGCTCTTCTTCAGGACTTCTTCAATGTATCGATCGTCTTAAATGATGTGTTCTCAAAACTAAACAGTTTAGGAATTTGATGAAACTTTGCATTTACACTTTTCTGCCAAGCAAATATAAAGATAGAGAGAGAGAGAGAGAGAGAGAGAGACAGACAGACAGAGAGGGAGACAGACAGAAAGAGAGATATAGAAAGACAGAGAGAGGGGAGGGAGAAAGTTAGGTAAACAAAGCTGAAAGAGATGGATTAAATGGTTCCAAGAGTATGGAATGCAATTTTTTTATATTGAATTAGGCTCACACATTCAAACATGTATGCATTAATGCTTGTTTTATAAATGTCAAACCCTGCATCAATTCTACAACAACAAAAGAAGGGAAAAGAAACTGACCCATTATTTCCAGCAAAGTCTCGACGTAACTCAGGGGACTTGCCACGTGAAGATTGTAATTCAGTGTCTTCATTACTAACAGCTCAAAAGTTAAGACTTTACATGGCTGATAGCGGTGTCCTTTATCTTGCAACAGCTCAGCACAGCGACGACAAGTAACAATCTGATTATATGCATTACAAAATTGATAAAAGAAAAGAACACATATTTTTTTTAACAAACAGATGGCGGGATCAAGTCTTACAGATTTATTTGTCTTAGAGAAGAAACTGTATTGTCAATGTTAAGCATTTAAACACATTATTTTAACTACTTTATACAATATTAGAAACAGTTGTGAAGTTATCTATATACTAGAATATACATAGGAAAGACTACAGGGTACATGTATATATGAAAGCCGTCAACAATTTACTAAATTATATGATTTTCGCCTCAACTGAATTTCAACTCTGAAATCTACTTGATTTGCAAGGCATGAGTCAATTTAAACTGTGTAACATGTTATTTCAATGGATGTTACTATATCATCTGTTTGGAGCCATAACAACATTGACACTCAACACAGAGTTAACGCTCTTCAGGTTTGAACAAATGATATTTGAAAACGTTTAATCTCATTACATATCAGTACTAACACATCACAGTTTCCAACCATTTTTTAGTTCCCTTGAAATTCATTTAATGCAGTCAGCCATTAGAGTGGACTTACTCTTGAAGAATTCTGATTTCAAGCTAGTTTCTATGAATTATAGCAAAGTTTCAGTCATTATCTGTTACATAACCATCGCTTTATGTAATTTGATATGATCAAATAAGTTTCATATCAAAAGAACTTGAAAGTAGCAAACTTACATTGTAGTGTGAACACAACTTGGAAGCAATCTGAACACAGGAGACCATGAAGGGTAGCAAATGTTTACATAGTTTACGTAGGGTGTGTTTCCACTCATTCTGTAATGATATGTTGCGCTGTTTGGGTGCCATATGGCTCTCCCTCACTTTCTCTTTGAGGTTGGGTATATGGGCTCTCATAAATCTGGAATTAACAAAAAATACATCACAAAATATTTATAAAACAAGACTATTTGTCATGAATTATTATATTTACAAATCTATGACCATTATTATGGACAAACTTCTTCAGATGTCCTGTTCTATGGTCAATACTTTATCCCACTACAAAAGTAATAGTAACAAAAAATGAAGTTTCTCAACTTTCGACATGTATGATTTACGATACTCTATGAATTTTTACATTGCCAAGGCAAATAAAATTGTAATTGTATAATAAAGCAGGATCAGTTTATGTGCAGCTGTATTAAGTCTCATTCATTGAATTTCATTGTTGTGATTTTTTTATTTTTTTTTTTTTTTTTGGGGGGGTTCTATATATTATACAATAGATCCTGTCTTAGTAGCCACCTCTCTCTAAAGGACACCTGTATATAGTGGCCAAAATATTGTTTCCCTCAACAGAGGAAGAAAAATGGGTGTTGTAAATCCCATCTGGAGAAGGCCACCTTTCTGGAGTAGCCACTTTTTCAGTTTCCTGTGCATGGCCCTAGTCAGGTTGGACTACTGAGATAACTATCATGTACAGTCAAACCTGTCTAATAAGGTCACCCAAGGGGAACAGAAAAAGTGGCCATTGTAGACAAGTGGCCTTTCTAGCCAGTTTATACAACACACATTTATTTTTTAAGGGATCCAAAATATATGGCCACTATAAACATGTGGCTGCTAAGACAGGTTTGACTGTATAATGAGGTGAAATGTAAGAAAGTACATGCTACATTAATATGTTATATATAGTCATCCACAACCAACTTTAATTCACTGAAAGTGAATTGAAACGTGTTTGGAAATGGAGAAGACACAAAGTCCTTCCTTCAATCACTGCACAGGTTCATCTGATTGTGAAGAAATAATGAAACTTCAAATTCAAAATCTTCTCTCAATGCCAACTGCCTAAAAGAGGCGAATATTGAGAATGCATAATATACTTGAATCAGACTTGGTTAAACTAATACATAAGTGGGGGCAGCAATTCATATTGTTTGGTGTACAAGTTAACACTGAAATAACATTTGCCTACCTGTCAAACAATTCTGCAGCAATATATCTGGTTTCCGGTGGTTGTTTCGTCTTCTCGCAGATAATGAATACACATTCTGTAAATAAAAAACCCAAATAAAAACAAAATGAAAGAGATTGCTAAAGTCCATACAATTGATGGAACAAGTAAATATAGTTTTCCTTTGCATTTACCATCTCAGGCAAAACGCACCGTGACAAAATTTCTACAAGGAATTTTTCATTATCAAGTAAGACGTCTCTAAAAAAAATCCATATCTTTTTTGTTGGGTAGATTTTTTTTGAGTTATCTTTATACACAACAATAACTAAATTATTATTCTAGTTTTAATATTTTGCTTCCACTTTGCAAACTTTGTAAAAAAAAATTCTTACACTTGTTTCCCTTTGCTTATGCTACTGTTCCTGATGTGAAAATGTGGTTTGAATGGAGAACAAAGTAGGAAAAAAAAATCACTTTATGAAAGAAGGTCAATTACATTATAGGGCCTAGTCTAAATATGAATGAATATTTATAACTCTCACCAACTAAAGAGCCACATTTGAAGATACCCTGCTCTGCTGTAGCTTTCTGCGTCTGTCTTTCGTTGGATGCAGCTTGAGTGAAAAGCAGCTCCTCTAGAAGGTTGGGTGATAAACAGCACCCTTTCATGTTGAACACAGGTTCTGGAGGGGTTCCAAATATCCTGGATTGATCCATCATTCTACGGCTACGCCTACTCATCATGCAAGAGAACTTAAAGGTTGTACTCTAAAAATTAAAAATGGGAAAGATAAAACATATCATAACATGATAAAACAGATTTTGATTAAAAGAAAGACCCATCTAAAGTAAAGAGATCTATGATAGAGGTATCATTTAAACTGACTAGGCCTACAGTAGACTAAACTTCAACAGTCAGTGTTTGGATAAGCCTTTGTAAACCTGTGTAGATCTACTCGTGACTGTGTTTTTCAAAAACACAGTGAGTATTTAAGCATCAAATTAAAAAGACTCAACAAAAATTAAAGCCTTCTCTTTTGTCTTTGGACTGAACGAAAAATAGACATCAAAAAGCACCAACCATCATGAATATTTATTCTTCGTAAGTTTGTCCTTTGTAGGTTTGTTCAACAGTCATAAGTCTGAGAAGATTTATGAAGTACCATATTGCTTGTAAACTTCTTCAACTTGCAGTTTTATTAATCAACTGTCCGGCCACACAACGTCTAGCCCACTCTGAGTATAAATGTTATGTTTCTAGATCTATTCAGTGTTACTAGAAATAATGACATGACTGTTAGTGTTAAGTGTTAAGCCTTCAGCTTTTTCAACTTCAACTAGACTAGATCTAGACTAGGCTTAATGGTTCAAGCCATGGTCTACTCTGGATCTATCAATTTTATTATCATCTTCACTGTACTATACTCTAGACTACAGTCTAGACTCTAGATCTAATGTACTAATTCTATCCAGACATAGGTCTAGATCTAGACCTACCTAGTCTAACTGTTAGTTCTAGATTCTAGATCTAGAGTCTATGTATGTTATCTTTAGAACATGAAGAAGTAAAGCAGCACTTTATCAGAAGAACCAGTGAAGTAATCAATCAGAATAGAAAATTTGTTTGTGGTCTTGCCACGTTAATAATATTCTTATGGCCAGCGCATAAACCCGTACGGAGTGTCGCCCGCGCTCACCCGATAGAGCGCCGTTGATTTAGGGTAGGCCTACTACGGTACTAGCTGAACTGTATAATCTCTCCACTTCAGGAACAAGCGCACGTATCCAGTCTGTCGAGTTCAAGACTCAACTCCAAGACCTATTGATATTCACATTTAAACAACATTTTGCTTTATAGTGAACTCACCAAATTCCTGTAAAGGGCACTGGGTTAAACAAACAAAAAATGCTGGTCTCCTTCATAAAATGTTTTATTTTGACCTAAAACTATAAAGACCTTGTTTGATGATGTCGACATCTTCATGAGATCGATGAAAAACCTTTATAGAATTGTCGCCCTCTATCGTTAAGGACTAGCCAAGTACTAGGTAAAAACATGGCTCAAGCTCCAAATACAGGTGGAAGTATTTTAAAGGCCCACTGCACTACTTGTAGCTACTTGCGCCCTCTATATAACAAACCATGCCTAATCGGTGACCATTGGTCCCCCATGATCCTCTTTTTCTTATGTTAACTGAGAGCTCAGTTGATGAGATAACCACCTGTCCAGTGACCTTGCAGGGCAGTCTAATCCCTCCTGTAAACTATGGCTGATACGCTTTAACAGTGGTGTATGAGTAGTGACAGTGGCGTAGATTCAGGGGGCACAGGGGCATGAGGGTATTCCGCCAAATTGAGCAGAGGGGAAAAACAAAAACGAAATAGAAATGATAGAAACCAAGGGAGAGGGGAAACGGAAGTAAAAAGAATGTGAGTAGCACACCCGCCCCCTTATTTGGGGCATTTTAAATTAACATAATGTTTATCCACATTGTATGGGCGATGCACATACCACCGACATGGCTAGACGCACGCTTCACCAATTGGAAGAGGGCAATGACACTTTTTTTTTCGGGTCTAGAAATTTGGAAATTTGACATTTTGTCCCGTTTGGGGGGGGGGGGTAAGGTCACCTTTTTTAGGTCAGCTATTGGCAATTTTTTTTTTTTTTTTTTTTTTTTTTTTAAATCAAAAGGGTTTTTTTTTCGAAAAAAACACATAAAACGTACACATAACAAAAAACAAAGGGGGGGGGGGGAGGAGGGGGGGGGGGGGTTTAACCCCCAAACACCCCCCTGCGTACGCGCCTGACCAGCGGTCAACAATTAGGCCTAACATAAAAAGATGTTGTATTGCCCTTTTTTCGCGACCGACCCAAAAATCTTGAAATCTACGGTCGGCTTTTTTAATAAGTTTTTTTTTAAACGTTGAAGAAGAAAAAAATGTTTAATGCATTAAAACTGAGAAATATCAGCCTCAAGAGGGAGAAGAAAAAAAAAGTTATAAAAACAACAACAACAAACACCGACCGATCGACCGACCAATGTTTTGGCACCTAAAAGGCAATACGACACCCTGTTGTTAAAGGCTTTATCCGCTGATCCCTGAATTGGCTATTGTTCTCATTTGCACAATGTATACAAAATATTGACTCAAAGGGTGTGATCGAATTTCTTGTATGCTGCCATCTCGTGACGCATCCGTCTTGTTAGAAAATTAATATTACAATTAAATAGGCTTTTAACAAAAAAAAGTGGTTGTATTGCCTTTTGCGACCGACCCCAAACTCTTAAAATCTACAGTCGGCGTTTTATCATTTTTTTAACCGTTTTTTTTTAAAATAAAATGTTTAATGAATCAATAAATATGTATCAAAGCATTCAAAACTGTAAATTGTCAGCCCAAAGAGGGAAAAAAGACAAAATAAAAATAAAAAAATAAAATAAAATGCTGGCACCTAAAGGGCAATTAAACACCTTTTTTTTAAAGGCCTCATCGGTGAGCAGCGTGTGATTGTATTCGAGCTAAATATGCTGGATAGTGTTTATTATTTTGTCAATAGGCCTATATTTTAAACCTCATCATGATATTCGTCTGATTCTGCATGATTATTTTTTAAATCTGTTGTACATCCTTTTAAAGAACAGTACTGACTTTCCTTTTTCTAGAGTTCATAATTCTTCCGGTTTGTTTAAATCATCTTGTACTAACATTTTCTTGGATATGATTGTGCTCCTTTTATAGTCATAATCTATTACCGCTCTCGCATCGTTCTCTCTCAACCCGTCTCTGTCTCTTTCTTTCTTTCTCTCTTTCTCTCTCTCTCTCTATATCTCTCCACACACACACATGTACATCCCAACCCACACGCCCATATACTCACTGTACACACATTCCAAACTCACACCACAAATTATCCCCTTCTTCCCTCCCTCCCTTTTAATTACAAGTCAATTTTATGTTTGGATTTATGCCTTGCTCTCAAGGCTATTATATTACAATGAATATGATACTATTATGATTATAGGCGGATTATAATATTCTATTGGGGCATTTTGCAGATTTTAATTATTCTGAATAGATGCTGGTAGTATAAATTGTCGGAAAAGTAGATGTTATTTGCCTTATTATGTAAATTGATATAGCCTCTATCCGACCGCTTTAAATCAAATAACCTAACATTTGAAGTGGCCCACATTCTCCTATAATAATATGTCAAAATAATTATATAGATTGAAACAAATGGAAGACTTATTGATGAAATAAGTCAAGTTGTGAGGTATTTGATTGCATTATGTTACGTTGTGCAAACTGGCCTGTGTAGTTGGTCATAATTGCTAATGACTTATCCCTTTAATCATGAACCGCTCCCACTATTACCTTGTCTGTGACCCAACACGGTTTAACAGAAATTCAACAGCTGCACAGGCTGTGATCATATCTCTTCATTACCCAACTCTCCTCTTAACCCGTATCACAAACTGCATTCTGCCATCGGGGCGTGTTAAATTGGCGCCTCCGTCGCGGTCCAGAGAAATGGCCACCAGTCTGTAAACGCATTTAACCGAGGGTAGCAACTTCTCGGCGGGGAATTACAAACGCTAGCGCAGAGAGTCGGGCAGATTGGAATGGGAGATTCCGTATGACTGACTGAGCCAGGCTCGCTCGAGTGGGGTGCTTGTTAAATGCATTTAGCAATCGGAGCGTGTTGGGTTCCCTCTCTACGAGCGTCGCTCGACCGCTTTTTTGTGTGGAGATCTTCGGCTATATAGAATACCACAAACGCATTGTTTTTGTCGCCTGAAAGCTTCATAAACTGGATTTTTGAGCATTTCCGAGGTGAAGTCAGCCCTGAGTCATTCATAGGGAGGAATTATAATCAATATACGCTCAAATCTGACGGTACATACTCAAAATTACCGAGGAATTATTAAAAAGGAATCATGTAAACAATTGTGTTGTGATAACTTATACGCTGTGAATTATCCTCTGGATTATAATTCGGATACTCATAAAAAGGTACGTATTGCTGATATATTCCACATTGCTATTCGATATCAAAATAAATTGTTTAGCGTAAGCTTGATTCAACTTGGCTCGTGCCCAAATTGTGTTAATTATGTAATCACTTTTGTATTCTTAACCTTAAAGGGTGATATTACCTTTGCTAAATTTGTGTAATTTTTATTTCTTTCTTTTCGACACACATCTACCATAGATAACAACATTACTAGTTTCTCGATTCTAATTATTTATATTTTTAACATAATCAATAGAATAAAACGCTGATTGTAGGATATTGGTGAAGGCCCTTAATATACTACTTATATTGATTATAATATAATTTTCCCACTTTTGAAAATACCAGTATTGTAATTCACACCTCAACAGCTGACCGTGTCAATATAGTAATATAGGCCTACTGCTTCTGTTTATATTCCTATGCTTTTACTATTACACTATAGGCCTACCACATTTACATTACTACTATAATACTACAATTACAATACACCACCACCCCTTACGTACTACTACTACTACTAAAACTACTACGACTACTAATACTACTACTGCTACTACTATTACTACTACTACCACCACCACTTCTACTACTACTACTGTTGGTACTACTACTACTACTACTACTACTGTTGGTACTACTACTACTACTACTACTACTACTACTACTACTCCTACTACTCCTACTACTACTACTACTATACTACTACTACTACTACTACTACTACTACTACTACTACTACTACTACTACTACCACCACCACCACTACTACTACTACTACTACTACTACTACCAGCGGCGTACGCAGGATTTTTCCAAGAGGGGGGGGGGGGTTAAAATCGGGCCAAAAATTTGGCAACGACTCAGCCAGCCGTTGAAAAAAATCGCAACGACTCAGCCAGCCGCTGGAAAAAAAAAGGGGGGGGGGGGGGGTAAGAGGACACTTTTTTTGGGGGGGGAGGGGGGTCTCGAAATTTGAAAAATTTTGTTCCGTTGGGGGGGGGGTAAGGTCACCTTTTTAGGTCAGCAATTGGCAGCAACCCCCCCCCCCTGCGTACGCGCCTGACTTCTATACTACTACTACTTCTTCTACTTCTACAACTACTACTACATTGCATGCAATTGGAAAGAACAAGGAACAAAAAAGATGTTGGCCATTGCTTTGATGGAGAAGACATGACGATTGCTGTACATTTCAATGGATAAGTAAACTATTAATTAAATACAATATATAAATAAAATTATATAACTTATTATGATGATAGTTACAACATTTTATTGATGTATCTATTTCATTGAATATTTTGTGATGACGATAATACCAAACATATTTCCACGTCGTCTTTTCTTGATTCAGATTGGCATTCAGAGCGCTTTATATTGTAAGATAAACGATATGTCGATATACTAACAAAAAATGCATTGGTGGATCATGAAAAAAATAGTAACGTGAAGTAACGGAACGACTTTACTGTGTATTACATTTTACATTTATTATGTTGATGATTGCTCATGCCCGTCTTACGCCCAAACATTATGTAACCATGTGTCATGCCGCTAATGTAATTATTTTGATACACATGGTGCATTGTTATGACTGCGTGGGCATGGTCTGCATGATCACGTGACACAGGCGCTTGCTCTCTGTAGCTTTAGAATGTGTCTTTGGACTGATTTCGCGCCACCATGTTTTACGGAAAGTTCATTGACGTCCCTAGAACGTTTTGTGCTTCCTGGGCATTTATGATTACACAGTCATGGTGATATTTCACCAACATGATCATCTTCATGATGCATGGAGTTTACGGGGTATGGCATCTTTAAGACCATTACGCATAATGGCATCTCCCCTAGCAATGGTGTTGGGAGAGTGGGAGGGCAGCTATAGGACGACAAAACAATGACATCTCCCGAACATTATCTTCAAGCTGGAAAAGGGATTGAGGGTATATAGGGCAGCTAGGACTACCCATAATAATATTTCCCAAACAATGGAGCTGGAATATAGAGAGGGAAGGGCAAACCATAACAGTCAGCTGATATCGACTTCTATATCACATCTACCTTCGTCCCTCGACTGCTAGGCCATAACACCTGTCATATTTTATGCCATGTGCTCGCTTCACAGTTTGCGGGATATCGGCTGGCGCTTATCTTGAAACTGGACACGTTCATGGCGGTGCCAGGATGATTAGCGCTGGGAGTAGTGATTAAATTCGTTGTGCAAATAGGTTACGTTAAATTTGGAAGGTATATGTTGACAGATAGTTCATGTGATATCCTTTCAATTGCATTTCGATTGTTTGTTGGTTTTTTTGTCTTTGTCTTTTTATACAAAATTTGGCTTCAAACCGAACTTATCTACTTAAGATATGAACGTCGTATCTTTCTGACGTTTTCTATTAGTTGCTCTATAATTATCTTTTACCTAATTTTTCCTTTATATTTAAAACTTACTTTGCTTGTATTCATTACATTTCTTCATCATCTATCTCCCTTTCTCATAATTATAACCGTTCATTTTTTCTCCTATCAAACATTTCTGTCATTATTATTACAATTAAGAACGTTATCCTTGGCGTTACATTTATCATTACAATCACAATTTTCACCTTTGAGGTCGTCGTTTACTATGTAATTGGCAACACGGTTGTCCTGACAGCAGTATTCATCTTTCAATCGTATCGTCGTCATCATCATCATCCTCGCCATCGTTTTCATTACCACCATCACCAATACTGCGATTTCGTCTTTCAAAAAAAAAAACTTTCCATAATTATTGTGAATTCGTTTATTTTCTCACCTTGCACTTCATTGATTTTCATTACATTTTTGTCCGTTTATTGCACGCTGACTGTCATTTCTATCGTCTTCCCTATCCTAAGTATACGAATGCTAATGAACACACGCTGTCCTCCGTTTGCCTCTGATCTTCTCCTTCCTCTCCATCTCCTCTAATTCTCAGTCAATTCCTTTTCGTCTCCTCCACCCTCATTCACTTTAAGCGATCAGCATTCATCCCCGATGAAAATAAGTTTCAGCTCTTATCCCCCTCATTTCTCTATCCCTTCCCTCCGCAAGTAAAAACAATCGTTTGACGAATCTCCATATTCTGTTCGAACATTTTCTCCATCTTCTCTTACTAAAGATGTTGCAGCCCCTCTTTTATCCATCTCCACTTCTTCTTTTTTTTTTTCCCTCTTTTTTCTCCTCCCCCTTCTTTCTCCTTTCCCTTCGCAAAGTATTGGAAGTATAAGGTCTATGCAGAGTCCTATTCTTTTTATATCGCCTCTTATCTTCATTCCTTCATCCCTCTCCTCCACCTCCTCCCACTGAAAATGACCAGTTGATGTATCTCTATTGAAACTAAATTCTGGCTCTTATTTCTCCATTTCTTACCCTCTCATTCCCTCATCTTCGAGCCTTTTTTGATCCCCACCTCCTCTTATCCACTCATCCCCTTATCCCTCTCCACCCTATACTGAAGATGACTAGTTGATGCATCTCTATCCTAAGTTCCGGCACGTCGTTACTGACCTGGAAATAATGCGTTCTACCCTTATCCATCTTACTCCGATCCCCGATATAGAGGCGCAGCACGAGTCCACCAATCAAGGGGGCGTTGGAACGATAGAAGGGGGGGGGGGAGGCCTTGGAAAATTAAATGCGAATTTACCAGGCTACTGACTAAGAAGGTGCGAGAGGTAGACCAAGTGTCTTCTCTTCTCATCCTCTTCCCCTTCTTTCTTCCCTTTTCTCTCTTTAGTCGCTCTGTCTTTCCTTTTTATTCATTTTCCATCACTCGATTGGGGGATGCGCCCCCGTGCCCCCTGTGTCTTCGCCACTATGCCGATGTAAAAGCACATGCACTCCGAAACGAGATGTGGGAGGGAGCCTGAAGGCGTTGAACTCTCTAGCGTCTCAGTCATTCCCACCTCTGCGTAAGGATACAAAAGACCGATAAGATACAATTTAAAGTATATGCAGAAGTCAAGTCATGTCGTTGAAAATGCAGTAAAAATATGTTTCTGAGTGGCAAAGATAAATTCCAATATTGAAACAAACAAACATATAAATGTGTGAATATTTTCATAGTTTTTTAATCTATTAAATCGCAGAAATGAAGCATAAAGCTGACGAATGAAACTTATGTATATATTTTATATTATGTTGAGCTTCAAGAACCAGTTATTTAACTATATTTTGAGGGGGGAAAAAACGTTACAATCATGAGCATAGTTTCATCGTTAAATCTTTGCTGAATGTATGCAAAAATATTTCTGAAAAGTTGAGGAAAATTGTCAGCATTAAGCAATACTAAAATGATTCATTCAATGCTTACTTAATTTAATGAAAGTTGTGTTCGAAAAATTACAGACAAATAAACATAATTATTTTTCTCGACAAATAACTTCCATTACATTTTTACCACTTAATATATAAATATGCCTATCAATAATTTTTTTAATCATTTTGTAACACAATTCATAAAGTATTTAAAGTGAAATCATATCTTTGATGATGATTTTCTTTTTAATGCTGACTTAAGCTGAGTGACAAAATAACAGTTAATATCTTATCTTAAGTTATTTACAGCGATTAAAAAAATGAAGGCAGGTGTACGCTACACATAATACACCTGTGACATTCCGCCCCACTTACTACAAATCGTCCTCACAAAAATTTGCCATCGGCATCACTCTAACCATATCAAACGCATGACCGTTTTCAGAAGGCACAGGTAATGAAGGAAGCTCAGCGAGCACGTTCGAGAAAGTGACCCATGTAATTTGCGCTCTATCAGCTGAAGACCCCCGACACCGATTTAGGCCCTCATCCACATAATTATCGAGGTGTGCCTAATGGCGGATACAAGAAGGGGAGGGGGAGGGACAGGCAACCCTTGCCCCCCCCCCCCATTTGCAAAAAAAAAGCCGTCGCGGTTCTTCTTTATATAACAAAATGTAATTGAATGGAGTTGCGCGTAATCACTAAGCGT